TGCCTTGAATGTGGGAAGTGTTTTACCTGGAAATCAAGCCTGGTGCAACATCAGAGACTTCACACCGGAGAGAGACCCTATGAATGTCTGGCATGTGAGAAACGATTTATGTTTTCTTATGAACTTCAGAGACACCAGAAATGGCACAAAAGAGAGCTATCCTCTAAATGTGGGGAAAGTTTTATTTCGCCAGGAGAGCTTCAGCTTCACCAGAGAATCCACACAGGGGAGAAACCATACAAATGTGGGGAGTGTGGGAAATGCTTTTCCCTAAAACAAAGCCTTGGAAGGCATCAGAGGCTCCACACAGGAGAGAAGCCGTACAGATGCCTAGAATGTGGAAAATCTTTTGCTCGAAAGGAAGCCCTTTTGACACATCATAAAACCCACACAGGGGAGAAACCATATCCATGCTTTGAATGTGGAAGATTTTATCGTACTACATCAATCCTTAGAAATCATATAAAAGTTCACACAGGGGAAAGAAACTACAAATGTTTAGACTGTGGGAGAACATTTGCTAATCCATTTTCCTTTAGAAGTCACAGCCGAATCCATACAGGAGAGAAACCTCACAAATGCTCGGAGTGTGATAAATGTTTTTCTCAAAAAAATACTCTTGTGATACATCAGCGAATCCACACTGGAGAGAAGCCATATAAATGTTTGGACTGTGGGAAATGTTTTGCCCACTATTCAACACTTTACAGGCACACCAGAACTCACACAGGACAGAAGCCTTACAAGTGTGCAGAGTGTGAGAAAACCTTTCATTGTCCGTCTCAGCTCAAAATGCATCAGAAAGTCCACAGCAGAGATAAATCTTTTCAGTTGTGAACAATGTGGGAAAAAACTTTTTTCAAAAAGTCACACCTTACTATTTCCCGGGAATTTTACACAGTGTTAGAAGGGAAATCCCACAATTGTTTGGTGTGGGGAAAATGTTTTTCCTAGTCAAGTAACCTTCAGTACCACAATCAAGCAAATCCGCATAAATGTTGGGAGTGTGAGAAGGTTTTTTTCATAAAGCCGCATTAGTAACTTACCAGAGTGGTTACACAAAAGGGTTATAAGGTGACCAACTTTTTTACAATGAGGAGGACACAAATAAGTTGAAGAAAAAAATACCGTAAATAAAACATTTTATTCATTGCAACAATACAGAATACACTATATAAATGCATAATAAAAAACATTTGTAACAATAACATTTTATATTGTAATTATGCTTACATGCCTATTATTATTTAAATGAGTACAAAAGAAGAACTGTTCTCCCTAAAGGAGGACGATTGGTCACCTTATTATAAGGGTGTGGGGAGTATATACAATGTTTTGCAAAATACAAGTAGTCCTAGACGTATGACCACAATTGGGAATGGATTTCCAGTCATAAGTTGTTATAGTCATGAGTCAAGGCACCCAGGTATTTTTGTTATTTTTTTTACTAGGCCTTTGTTGATCAGTGAGAACTGAAATTTTAGAGAGGAGAAAATGGGGGGAGGGGTGGAACAAAGATGCATCTGGTTGTTTATCTAGTGATAAAATGTTGATGTTGAATATATTCTGGCTGAGGAAGAAGAGGGAAAGTTTCTTTTTCCTCCTATCCTTTTTTGGGGGGAGGGATTTTCTTTTTTCTTCCCAGTGTCTTTTTCATATCTTCACACACACACATTGGTATTAAGTTTCTTTGCTTGGTCTGTGAATATAATCTTTAATAAAATTATTGTTCAAAATAATCAAGGGGACTGTTTTCAGGGCATGGACTGGGAGGGATGTCAAAAAAATCAAGATGGCAGTCCAATTGTGCCACACTCTGCAGAGTCCTGCTGCTTTTTAGCTTTATATGTGATGCCCTTTTAAACAGCCGCCATCTTGGTTGTTGACTCCATCCTCTCTTTCTGGACACTTCTGTCTTCTGAGGTAGATTTTAGATGAACTTTAGGAGAAATGTCCTGGGTTATTCAGGTGACTCTGAGGGCATAGATCAGGGGTCTTCAAACTTGGTCCTTTTATGACTTGTGGACTTCAACTCCCAGAATTCCTCAGCCAGCTGTGCTGGCTCAGGAATTCTGGGAGTTGAAGTCCACAAGTCATAAAAGGGCCAAGTCTGAAGACCCCTGGCATAGATAAACCTTCAAGTGGCCTAGCGACTCTCAGAGAAAGTGCTAATGGCCAGCTGTCTGCAAGGAGTATAAATCCTTTCATCCTCCAACACTTGGTCAGAACTGAAGAAGCTTCTTGGATGAGAAGCGAAACGTCTTCAAGGAAAAAACAAAATCCAGTTGCTTTTTGGAAAAAACGCTTTTCGGACTTTTGTTGTTGGTTATTTTATTGTTGTACTATTTTACATTTCTGTTTACCTGCCCTTCATTTTTATTTCTTTTATTATCAGCCGCCTACAGTAGGCCTATGGTGAGATGGGCGCAAATAAATTTAAGAAACAAATCTCAAATAAATAGAAACACAGGTCGTGCCTGAAAATGCCTTTGTGGGTCTTGGCACAGGAAGCGTTTTATGGCAAAGAAAGAGCAGACAAAGAGAAATGGTTAACATATCAAGAATTTTTTGAAGAAGTACTGGGATAATACAAGGTGAAGTCAAGAGATCAGCTGACTGCAGAGGGAGTTGGCTTCTCCTAGTTTTCGTATGTAGAGTTAAGAGAAATATTTAAAGTAGACAAAAAGACTTTTGGAATTAACAGACTATGAGACAGAATTTGAAACTTGGCTATATATGCAAATGCTGAACATGAAATGGCTAAAATGTATCAGCTTTTTCTCAAAACTGAAATGGACAAAAACAAGTTAAAGAGTATACAGCTAGTCCTCAACCTACAACAAACTCTCCCTCTTCCCCCCCCCCCAAAAAAAAACCCGGCACCCAGATCTTTTACTTGCACTTTCCTCCTCCTTGGCTAATTGAGGGGAGCAAAAACTGACCGGCACTAAATTCACATAGCATTCCTAATCCAAATTCTGAGTTAATCCATTTTGGTGCAAGAAAGCAAGCAAACATTTGCACAATACACACACACACACACACTCGCGCGCGCGCACACGTACACACATTTCGAGCTAACCTTCACCCCACTTTCGGTGCAAATCCATCCTCACGTAGTCCATACGGCACCATTTTTGCCCCAAGAGACAACTAAGGCACGCAAGGTTGGCAAAAAACAAAAACAAAAACGTTCTCCAGCAAGAATAGCCGCGGGAACCCAAAGCAGCCTAGCAAAAATCCAAAGCAGGCCATTCAAGGCGACCACCCGGGATGTGAACGGGAGAGAATCAGAGGAGGGCAGATCTCGTACGCGTCCTCACGACACGCTAAACCCCAAGCTAGGCGACGCGCGGTTGCTTTAGAGCAGTGTTTCTCAACCTTGACAATTTTAAGGCATGTGGACTTCAACTCCCAGAATTCCACAACCAGCATTGCTGGCTGTGGAATTCTGGGAGTTGAAGTCCACATGCCTTAAAATTGTCAAGGTTGAGAAACACTGCTTTAGAGCACGGGTCTTCAGACTTGGCAACTTTAAGACTTGTGGACTTCAACTCCCAGAATTCCTCAGCCAGCCCTGGGTGGCTGGGAGATAATAATAATAATAATAATAATAATAATAATAATAATAATAATAATAATAATAATAATAATAATAATAATAATAAATAATAAATAAATAAATAAATAAATAAAAAAGTTGGAAGTGACCTTGGAGGTCATCTAGTCCAGCCCCCTGCTCAGGCAGGAAACCCTATACCAGGGGTAGGCAACCTCGGCTCTTTTATGACTCATGGACTTCAATTCCCAGAATTCCTGAGTCAGCAGAGCTGACTCAGGAATTCTGGGAGTTGAAGTCCATGAGTCATAAAAGAGCCGAGGTTGCCTACCCCTGCCTTATACCATTTCGGAAGTCCACAAGTCTTAAAGTTGCCAAGTTTGGAGACCCCTGCTTTAGAGCCTGGGTCGTGCGAACCCACACACGAATCGGAGTCCCCCGAATCCATAGAAAGCGATCGGGGATTAAGCGCGCGCGCGCGCGGGGCGAAAGGAGCAGGCGAAGGAATTCTCGCCTTTCCCTGCCCGGCTGCCCGGGAAGGGTTAAAACCACGGAGTTGGCGCCGCCCAGAACGGCTGAGAAGCAACTTCCGTGGCGGTTCGGTGGCTGCCCGGTTCCTTCCTGTTGCTGGAGGGGGAGGAGAAAGGGGCGAGTTGCAACGTGCGGGAGGGGGGGGGGAGATCAAAAACGAGGTTTTGTAGGTTGCAATCCCGGGCTTTGCTTTCTCGCCGGTCCCGTGCAAGACCCGGGTCGGTCCGGCTGCAGAGGTGAGTTTTGGAGGGGAAGGAGGAGAGGGATTGCAGGTGTGTGAAAAAGTGCATCCTCTGGATCGGTGTGCAAGCCAAGCCCGCTTTGGGCGAGGGGCGCATCTCTGCCCGGGTCCCGGTTGCCATTCCTCGCGGCGGATCTGTAGAGAGTCTTTGCCCCTTGCTTTGCTTTGCAGCCCCGCTGCACGAAGCGTGGCTCCCTCCCTCCATCCGTTCTTTCTGTTTGGCATTCTACCAATGGGAGAAACGGATCCTATGCGGGTCACACAAGCCAAGGGAGACTTTGGTGCTGCCTTGGAGTCAGCCCAAGGAACAAGCAGTAGTCTATCTAGGAACATGGCTTGAGTTGGAATGTGGCATCCTGAAAATGCCCCCCTCCTTTTTCAGGGAATTCCCGTGGTTTGGTTGCAAAAGAGCGTGCCTGTAACTTTTTTCTCTGTTTTTATCTTTTCCTCTGTAGGTGATTCTCTGCTGGAGGCACAGAGTTACAGCTGGACACAGGACTCATGTATACCTGAGGAATATCACTCCTTCCTTCCTTCCTTCCTTCCTTCCTTCCTTCCTCTCCTCTCCTCTCTCCTTCCTTCCTTCCTTCCTTGCTTCCTTCCTTGCTTCCTTCTCTCCTCTCCTCTCCTCTCTCCTTCCTTGCTTCCTTCCTTGCTTCCTTCCTTGCTTCCTTCTCTCCTCTCCTCTCCTCTCCTCTCCTCTCTCCTTCCTTCCTTCCTGCCTGCCTGCCTGCCTGCCTGCCTGCCTGCCTGCCTGCCTGCCTGCCTGCCTGCCTGCCTGCCTTCCATCCTTCCTTCCTTCCTTCCAGCACCCTTGACATCAATGGGTTCCTACTCCAGGTAGGTGGGCAGAAGACTGCAGCCTGAGTATTCCCCCCACCCATCCCAGGTTCCCCCAGGTCTGGGAAGCTGTGGAGTACAATGTTTTGAGTCCTCGTTACAGGTAGTCGTCAACTTACAACAGTTTGTTTAGTGACCAAAGTTACAACGGCACTGGAAATAGTGACTTATCATTGTTTTTCACACTTACGACCATTGCAGCATCCCCGTGGTCATGTGATTTACATTTGGAGGCTTGACAGCTGACTCACATTTATGATGGTCACAGTGTCCCGGGGTCATGTGACCGACCATCTTTTGGGACCTTCTGATAAGCAAAGTCAATGGGGAAGCCAGATTCGCTTAACAACCGTGTGACTAATTTAACAACTGCCGTGGCTCATTTAACAAATTCTTCTTCTTCTTCTTGTGCCATATCCGTTATCGGACGTTGGTGATCATGTTGGCAATCCTGTTTTTATCAGCAGCCGCACGAAAAAGTGCTGCTGAGTTTTGTCCAAACCAATCTCTTAGATTTTGAAGACATGATGTTCTTCTTCTGCCTGGACCTCGTTTGCCTTCCATCTTTCCCTGGAGGATTAAATGGAGTATGCCATATTTTTCTATGTGTCGCATCACATGTCTGAAATATTCTAATATTCGTTTTTTAATTGTTTTGATGATTTC